AGCTGGAGTGCTGTATGTTTTCCTTGGGGAGAACATTAAATGAACGCTGGCTTTCCTACTCCTATTGATTGTGGAGATGATATTAAATTAAAATAAAGCAAGAAAACAACTTTTGGTTTCTTCTGTGAGGAATCTAATAAATTTTGTTCGATATGTTTTCATCTCATTTTCTTTCCTTCTGCATCACTGCTGCAGTAAGGCCCCAAGCCCCAGCAGAGACAGGGCCCCCTCATGTGTGGATCTGTACAAGTAGAAAGTAAAGGATATTTTCTTTCTGTCCCTGACACCTTCATGGCTCCAGCAGGAAGCCCATGGAGATCAGCAGCACTCAACATAAAACAAGTGGGTTTGGCCCACTTGCTGTTATTTTTGATTCAAGGTGAAGAGGCAAGACAGACGTGGCAGGAGGGGAGCAGGGTCAGCAGGAGGAACAGGGATTTACAGGAGGTCTCTCAGGGTATCCAGGGTGAAAAATCAGAGCAGGATGCTAGACGCTTTGGTGCTGCCACCTCTCCTGAGCTCCTCCCTGGTCGTTGGATCCGGGCTTTGTCTTACATCCCAGGGGATGCAAGACATGGGGACGGTCATGGGGATTGCAGCTTTTGCTTTCCTGAGGAACCTTGTTTGTGGTCATTTGGGGGATGAAGAAGAGCCAACAAACATAAACCCTAATGGCTCAAAACCCAATCAGGTATAAAACTGTCTCATGTATTTTTAAACCCAGTGGGTTTTGAGCGCTGGGAATTTTCAAGCACGTTTCCCCTGGCACAAATTGCCCCAGATTCTGCTACTTTCTTATCTTTCAGTATGTCCAAAAAAGGAGCAAACCACATTCATTTTCCTGCACCTTTCCCATCTCTGTTTCCCCTTACAATAGAAAGGACAAGTTTTCTTGTTGGAGGTCAGCACTTATCAAAGTTTATGAGATCAGAGTGGGAGATAGAGTAGAGCAGAGCTGGCTGCATCTTTTTGCATCCGAAGCTATTAAAAGCTTCCTTGATAGAAACGGTATTTATCTGAAATGAAATTATTCTGAAAATGACCATAACTTTCTTTCAGAACAACAAAAGATACCACAGTAAGCAAGATGCAGTCCTACCAAGCAGAAGTTAAACCCAAAAAAAGAGAAAGAAGACCTAAATATACGGTTGTCTCCATCTGCCTGAAATAACCGTGAAGTCTGTCAATAATTGGCTGGATGGAAAAGCTTACCCGAAGCCACAGTTTTCCTGTGGTCTAAAAGTGGTCTGATTTATTTCAGGCTTGTTTTTTTATGTATAAACCTAATGTTGAAAATTTTGGTCTGAGTAAAAGAGAAAGGTTTTTTGCTGAATTTGATAGTGTGAGTGCTGGTGATATCTCAGAGGGCACAGATGAAACATTGGCTGCATGTAGCCACACAGGACTATGTTTGTCATGGTTGGTGACTTACGGACTAATAGTTAAGGACTATTATTAAGGACTACTGCAGCAGTTCATCGGATTCAGGATTTATTTGGGGGATTAGCCAGCAGCAAAGACCAGAAGAACCTCTTGGTGCCCCAAGAGACTATCGTCTAGATCCCATCCCTAGTTGATGAGCAAGGGAATTCCCAACACCATGGCACGCACGCACAGCCATCGGCTACTAAACTGTGTGCCGAGGAGGCAAAACCCCGTGTAGAAACACGGTTGAGAGAATTATAGGGGAAAATACGCTTGGTGCGGTTAAGAAGTGAGCTGGAGTTGGTTTAACACCCCTAGCCAGACTGGTCAGGAGGCAAAGCGGGATTATCAAGCTCGAGCAGGCAACGAGAGGACCCTGGGGCAGTGAATGTACTGGAAAAGAAATGGTTATCTTCTAATGAAGTGGAGAGTAGGCAGGGATATTTCTGATTTAAGGTCTTCATCATTAATGTTCTGCTTGCAATCACTGGATCTGCAAATAACTTTCCAAGGAGCTTCTTGATTGCTAAAAGGCTGTATGTATTCCTGACTATGATGACAACATAGTTTTATGTAGCCTAAAAAAAAAAGTCTGTTAAACTGCTGCTTATCCAACATTAACTACAGCAATTTTTAATTAACCTGATTTAGAAGCCAAATATATCACTGATGAAAATGAGAGGGTAGAACATACAGTCATTTATTCCAGTACAGTGGTCATGATTGTTGAATTAGATTTATTCAAATGAACCTCAAAATTTTGCCGCAGTAGTCGGCTGTGTGCTGGGTGCCAGGTTTTAGGAATCTGCACGTAGTCGAAGAGCAGTGAGCTTTGGGGCATGGGAGGGAAAGATTGCGATGCGTTTGTCTTGCTGCTCAGAAACGGGGAGGAAAGACCCACGCTCGCTTTTATTTAATAAAGCAAAAAAAAAAAGATGGGGTGTGAGTCGACTGCTAATTACCTCTTTCCAGCCTTTGCTGGCAACCAGTAGACAGCGTTGGTGGAGCTTGACGTGGAAAGACTCTCCAAGGGTCACTTTGCCTGCCGTTGGGTTGGCTCTGCTCTGGGATGATGGCCAACGAGATGCACAGATAAACCAGGGCAGTGGCCGTGGCAGTGAAGCACAGCAAAACCAAACTCTCTGCCAGTAAAGGTAGATTAACATGTCCCGTTCGGTCTGTAGGAGGGATTTACGCCGGAGCACCTAAGAAGGGATGGAGTTATTCGAGTGTTACCATTTTCAGTTGGGAAGACTTCCAAAAAATGGAGGTAGGGCAGTAAACAAAAGCAAAATGGAGCAGACGGAGGTGTGGATGTTGTCGTCTGTGGTCTTCATGGAGGACAAGAACTTCTACTAAAGCAAGAATTCTTGCTTTAAAATGTCTTTACTGAAAGAGTGGTTAAACATTGGACCAGGCTGCCCAGGGAAGCGGTTGAGTCCCCATCCCTGGAGGTATTTAAAAGACGTGTAGATGAGGCGCTGAGGGACATGGTTTAGTGGGCCTGGGGATGTTGGGTTGACGGTTGGACTCGATGATCTTAGAGGTCTTTTCCAACCTTAATGATTCTATGATTCTATTCTATGATTCTAAGAGTTTGGTGGCAGATATCTGCACTGTGTGTGGGTGCACAGAGGGACTTGCGTCTGCAGCGTACGGTGATTTCCAAGCCTCCACATAGCTGACTGCTTAGATGATTTCCCCTGAACTCCCTATGACCGATCCGAGTGAAGATGATGAAAGCTGAAGATGCTCTGCAACCTTTTCTAAAGTGCCCATTAAAACCTCATGCGGCTTCAAAGGGTGCGAGCTGCTGTGCGTGTTCCTTCCAGGTGGCCTGGCAGGTAATCAGGTCCCTCCCAGGGATGGCAGTTGTGCAGCCATGAGTGAATATAAGGGCTGGCATGTTTTCATGCAACGTCTCTACCTTCCCTGTAGGAAGAAGCTCTGGTTAATGGAAGCGCTGAGCACCGAGGACTCGGGCTGGGTGCTGAGCTCTGCTGTTGGAATGCAAAGTGCTACGATGATCAAGCTATAACGGCTGCAAGCAGCCAAGGAAAACTTTTCAAGTATAGCTGTGCTGGTGGTTTTTCCTAGCTGAATTCTGCATTCAGTGTGTGTATTTGCTTGGCAGTTTTCTGCAGAGCAGATTGAACATTCCTGCGTTCTGCATTCTGGTTATCGTCGAGGAATAAAGATGAAATATTGATGCTGTCACGTGTAAGTCTGTAGAGCACATTCAGAGTCCTTCCTATAGCCTGGCCAACTGAGAATACATCTGTGCTGCACTTCTCAGCTCTGCCGATGGCCTCTTTGCTCACACAGGTTGTTTATTGCTTTCCAGGGATGCTGTCCTCTTCTCTCTCCCTGTCGACAAAAGCGTAATTTCTCTTTTTTTCTCACTGCAGGTTATCCGACGGGCTATCCCACCGCCGCCCCAGCCTACAACCCAAACATGTATCCAACCAGCAGCCCCGGCTATGCCCCAGGTAACAATCTGTGTATGGAGACGAGATCGGGCATGTTGAAGCATGCAGGAGGATTTACCTTTCGCTGCTCGGTGTACAAACCCCAGCAGTTTCCGTGTGCTGGTCGGCAAATACTTTCCAGGGAAGGGGCCTGTGTTAAGCTCTTCCCTTCCTCACTCTGCCATTAACTTCACGCCCTCCGTTGGGAATATTTGTCTATGTTGCAAAGTACTTTTGAGCCATGAATTACATCTTAATACTAATCCCAGGAATTTTACAATCCTCCTTGCTGTGATACCTTCGCATTGATGGCTTTTAATATTTTCTGAATACCACACCCCGGGATTGCCTTCCGCTTCCCCCTGCTTGTCCTTCTCTCCTCCTTCCATGTCATAGATGCAGAAATGTCAGCAACCGTGTCCTGTTTGGTGTCTGGATCTCCCATGCCATGTCTTTACTGTCCCTTGCTTTCCTGTGGCACTGACAGACTCCGGGTCTGTCCTAGGGTCTTCTTCTGTCCAGCTCCTGCCCTTCACACCACCCTAAAACGGCTCTTCCAAAGGTGCAGCAAGCTCTTCCCAGCCAAACTCAGGAACTCTTCTGCCTTAGCCTTGGTGTGCTGGTTATCTTTGACAGCACCAGCTGCACTCATCTCCATAAAATCTTGTTTTCCCTTGGCTTTCCCAGTTTGGGAAGTTGTTTTCTACCTCTGCTGCAGCGTGTCCATTGGGACGTATTTGTCACCTGCCTCTTCCAGCTTTCCATGAAAGCTCAGCCAGGCTCTGTCCTTTATTTCTTTCTCCGCTACTCCCCATCTATCCCTGGGAAACCTTACTTGGAGGTACAAGGTCTTCATTTTTCGGGGAGGTCTTCATTTTTTACACCAGCCACGTGCTCTTTTGCATCCTCCTTTGCAGTTCCTCTGAGCCATCCTACCAGCCAGGCTGATTGGGTAACGCGTTCATCCTCCGTAGCTCAGCCCCTACCCTGGAGCCCTGCTCTCTCTGCCGTCTCCGACCTTGGCAAATTCTCCTCCATCCTCCTGGAGAACCGGTACAAAAATAATTTTCCCAGTCCAGTTCTTTAACCGTGTCATCCCCCTCTTTGCCTCCCTACTGCTCACATCCAGCACAGCCTACTTGTCTTTATTTACAGAAACAACACGCCCTCCATTCATTCTTGGTGTCCAGAGCCTTACTGCTCTTTCGGCTCAGCCAGCGACGTCTGTCCTCTTCACCTCTTCACCTTTCCAAGCAAGCGTCTCCCTTGTCCGTGCTGCTCCTCTCCCCTCATCACCCACAAAGCCATTTCTCATTCGAATTCCTCCGTTAGCCATGTTTGTTTTTTTTTTTAATAAAAGCCCACGACTAGACTGCCAAGCTCCTTCCCTTCCCCACTGTTGAGCACCATTTCTCCGCACCTCCCTTCTGTTGTCTCTTGACCAAACACATACCCAGCCCATGGCTCTGGTTACGCTGCTCTGTGGATGCAGAGAAGGGTCTGGATGGAGGAGGACGCACACATGTCCAGGACCTTCCTGCCTGGCCGGAGAGAGCTGGAGAGGAGAAAACCATCCAAGCATGGTGGGTGGCGTGAATACAAACCCAGTCATGCCCTGACCATCACTTCGAGGTTGAACACCTCATCTACATGAGGTGGGGAGATGGAGGAATTGCTTATACCCAAGGGCTGCCAATGGTAGAAGATTCATGTAGATTAGGACAGAATGTAAATTAATCATGGGAGCTGCTGTCAAATAACTTCCACCACGGGCACTTCTTATTCCAGAACAAGTGGATCTTCCGCTGTTTCTAAGTCAGAGAAGTTACTCCGAAGCGGGAGTCATGGAGTAATTCCTACCTGTCCACAAGGAGTTGTCTTCACCACAGCACGGACTAATGAGGTTCTGTGCTTAACGAGGAATATTTCAGTTGCTCTGCTAAATCAATCACTTTCTTTTTTATGCTTTCAAGCCCAAACTTGGAAACCTTTATAGAAGTCTTTTTCTCTTTGGAGTTGAGGATTTCTCTTAGGCCCCCACTCAGGAAATAATCTAACTGAAGTCAAACCTACATTTAAGTACTTTACTGAAACCAGCCCTTTGGAAGGACCAAGCGACCTTGAGTTTTTAAAGCGCGGTTAAGTTCTCTGCTTTCAGCCAAATTATGGGATGGGAGCCCCTTGGCATGACAAAGGGTGGTAGAAACCCAAGGGCTAAGTAGCAGTTTCAAAATGTAACTCTTATCCGGAGTGAATTAAGTGAAAGGCAGTATAAGAAAAGGAAATCTTCTATTTAATAGCAATTTTGAGATCTTGTTGCCCAGAGAAGCTGTGGCTGCCCCATCATTGGAAGTGTTCAAGGTCAGGTTGGACGACCTGACCTCTGAGCAACCTGATCTAGTTGACGACGTCCCTGCCCACGGCAGGGGGGGGTTGGACTAGATGATCTTTGAAGGTCCCTTCCAACCCAAACCATTCTATGATCAGAACATTCTTTATTAGCTGTGGGGATTTAGGCTGTAGTGTGTTAGCAGAGCGTTTAATTTAAGGGGTAGGGTCACACAGGTCAAATGCAAGAATTGGCAGTGCCTGAACTGTGATTGGAAAAGCGTTTCTGAAATCAGGACTGAGCCTTTTTTCATGGCTTTTATGAAAAAGGCCTGAAAAAAATCTCTTGCTCACCCATTTCCAAGCACACGTTGGAGACGAAAAATACTGCCTCGCCCTTCATTTTGACTTCATGGCTTTTCAGTTGACTGAGATGTTTATTCTGAAGGCTTCGCCTCAAAAGAGCTGTGGGATTTTAAAACTTCTGAATAAAGCCTTCTTTTCAGCTAAGTGTTCAGTAGTCATCGGAGTGAAATAGATGCTTGCGTAACGAACACAAAGTTGGACTTTGTGGCAGTCTTGCTAAACCCTTTCTCCTCTGAATTGCCAAGTTTTCAGTCTCCTGGTTGTTGTAAAATCAGTAGATCCCCAGCCTTGGGATCTTT